CACACAGACTGTGAGTGAAACCCTAACCACACATGCTAGTATTTGTTGAAACACAGCAAAGTTGGCCACGCAATACAATCGACTGGAATGTCAACGGAATGTTTTCTCCTTTCGAGTGTCACAGCCATGGAACGCCCTTCCGGCGCATGTCTTTAATGCCGCCACCTAACCTCTATTCAAGAAACGCCTTGTCCATACTATGTCACATGTACACTACGTGATATAGTCCATGATCATCGGCTGATGGCTCTAGTGAGAAACAAATACTGGACGGTGTCATGAACCATCTAAACTCTAGGCAGGAATAGTCACACATGTGCTACTCTAAACCCATTGGTGAGTCCAATATCTCACGCGTGCTTTACTGGCACTGTATTTGTACTTTTTTATTTTCCCCTAAACGATCCTACGGGACTTATCAAGCAGCTGCATTTGAACAAAGCACAATGATTTATGACGGGTAAAAAATCAGGTGCTTGACAGATCCCGTAGGGTGTTTAGAGTGAGAAAACATAGATCAAGGGTTAATGGAGTCGTCAGTTCAGGCGATTACAGATTAAACTGCACTGCCGTATAAAGGGAGTTTGAAATGAGAATGTACGCACACAAAGCAATAAGGGGAGTGGTCATTGTTCACATAATAGGTGAGAAAAAATAAAAGAAGATAGCAAGGACAACGCTTACTCGTGTGCAGCTATCTTGGGTCGCTAGGATACTGAAATCCAGTTTCTATAGTAATAGCGTTAATTAAGTTTCGTGCAAGGCGTTTGGATTGACTCATTCTCGAGTAGGGTTATGTCACTATCCACTGTCTGTTGTGTATTAGTGCCAGCATCTGGTGGTCATGAGCTATAGCAAGTAGTGTAAACGTGACATGGCATCGTCAAGGCGTATTTTGAAAAGGGATAGCTTGGGTGCATTAATTACGTGTTGCGGGAGGGCGTTCCAAGGCTGTGACACTCGAAGGGAGAAATAATTTCGCCGACATTCCGGGCGGCTGTACTGTGTGAGTAACTTAAACTGGTGACCTCTTAGGGGGTGTTTTGACTAAGTATCAGAAGGGAATGGCATGGGTGGTTGGGGTTTCACAGGATCTGGTACACCATTATGAAATCGCTCCTTAGACGCCGATAACGTCCACTGTATATTTTGAGGGTCTTCAGCCTGAGTGGGTAGGGGAGACTGGTCAAACCTCTGACGCTCTTCGTTGCCCTACGTCGTGCAGTATCGAGCGCGGTGAGATGGTGCTTGAGCCAGGGTTGCCACGCTTGAATAGCGTGTTCCGCGTGCGGCCTCACCTACGCACTAAGCATTTTTAGAAAGACTGAAGTGTCAAACTTTCCGAAAGCTCTGCGTAGAAGGCCAAGATGCTGGTTTGTTTTCTTAGTTGTATTTTCAGTCTGCCTCAAACAACCGAGGTCATCTTGAACTGTCACGCCGAGATCGTATTCGTGAGAAGCCCTCTGTAGAATTTGTGGTATTAGGCGGTAGTTGTGCAAACTCTTGCGCCGTATGCTGAGAAGTTTGCACTTGCTGACCTTGAAATGCAACATGTTCTTGATGGACCATGTGTACGCTTTGTCCAGGTCTTCCTGTAACATTGTGTGATCCGCCATTGCAGCTATAGTACGCCATACCTTTAGGTCATCAGCGAATAGCAAACAGTTAGAAGATAGCACGCAGGCTAGAGCATTTATGAAAACCAGGAACAGGCGGGGTCCAAATACCGAGCCTTGAGGTACGCCGCACTGAAATTCGATGGATTCCAAAAGGTTGCTTCGAAACTTCACATTCAGGTGACGTTGCACGAGAAAGTCTCCTATCCAGCCCAGAACAGGATCGCCGATTCCATATTTCTGGAGTTTGTGGAGGAGAATGCGATGGTCTATACGGTCGAATGTTTTTGAGAAGTCCAATTAAGCCGTGTCGACTCCTACACCAGGATACACAGATTCTGTCCAGCTTGCACGATCAATCAATGGATTAGTGGTACAGGAGCGATTTTGGCAAAATCCGTGCTGCTCCGGAACGAGAATTTGGTTGTTTTCCAGGTACCCCATCAAAGCCTCAGCTACAATGAACTCCATAACCATGGAGATCACAGGAAGTAGTGTTACTGGGCGATAATTTGCTGGTTCGGCACGACTGTCACTTTTGTAGATTGGCGTGATGATTCCGTACTTCCACATCGTGGGATTCCGTGCTTCCACATCGTTAGAAACCATGGCTCCATTTCTGAAAGCATTTCGGTGTTGCTGCTCCCCACACTTACACACTACGATCGAAAGTTTAGTCTTGGTTTGGACTCATCAGCTGGAAATAGCCTGAGGTAGGGTGGAGCTCAGAGCCCACTGGCCCACGGCTGATGCCTAGAGCACCATGCCACTGAGATCCGCGAGCAACGCTCGGCACAGCGGAAAGGAATTCAAAGTTGGATTTAGAGAACCCGCTGTGTAATTGGATTGCGACACGCAGCCTCTATTAAGACTTCGGGTCACCTTGAAGTAGACCGTGGTCATTCTGATAGCAAGGACCATTTCGGTGTTGCTCCTAAAACACTGACACACCAGTGTTAGCTCTCAGCAAAAGCAACGGGGAATTTATGGACCAACATACGACACATGTCTAAGCCTATATTTTTATTACTAAAACGGCAGTTACATGGATCAGATAATCAAGCAAACACTTTGAAGGTACGTCCAATCAGTAACCTATGTGGTTTAGAGTAGATATGCACAAGTCCGCTGCGAGCTTGACAAGGTATGAGCGAACCCAACTGCAAAAGTCGCGACGAAATGGAGGATGCATTGTGAAAATTATTGCGTTTATATACTAGATCACGTTGGCTACGGACCATCACTTACAGCCCGATGGTTTGTATCCTCTGACTCCAATTTGAAGGGTTGCGGGTTCTGGCAATTTACAAAGCAGATAGTGTGCGCAAAACCGACGAGTGCCGAACAAAAGAAACGGCAATCCGCAGCCTTCCAGAATGTGTATCGGCATTTGACTGAGTGCAGATGTGATACCACCCTTTCGACATTGTATCCAAATAGTGTTTAGTCTACCGATGTCTGAAACTCATTATAGTGGACTCCAAGTCGGCATTAAGTCCCTTAGCTAGAGAAAGCTGAAAATTGTCACCGCAAAGCGAGCGAAAAAGTAATGATACTGCGCCTCTGAACCGGGTTGACAATAGTCGCGGAAGATAGCATGGACTACCCGAACCACGCATTAGAACAAAACACGATTTCATGAAATATGCCCATAGCGATAGCAAGACACAGCTCAGCGACAAAATTCCTTTTTGATATTTCTCATCAGGCTAATACATATAGAAAACTGATTAAAATCATAATAGGCTAAAGTGGCAAGTCTAGGCTTGGTCAAGTCCAAACAGGCTGCTTTGGTATTCGATACATTGCAATCGATTATAAGAGTTAATCTCACACGTATACATTCATGTTCAAAATACATGTTCACAATACAACACACCACGGTTCAGCTGTCCGATGGGGTGAAAAGGTCACTTTCGGAGGTCGATGAAAACGGCAAGTAAATTGTTGAAACTGCCCCGTTTATAACCCAGAGTCTTAAGGATCGATTCACGGTCCAGTCCGAATCATTTATCCTGTATCCATTTACTTGCACCTGTGGTGTAAGATACCTCAGACGCACGCCCAGACGCTTGGCGAATCGGATAGCAGAACATTCCCTAGCAGCTTTATGGAAGCACGCACTCAAACGGACCAACAGTGCTGTTTTAAAACATTTAGTCCAGAGCGAGCACCAAGTCATGACGACGGAGGCTATTAAAGTTTTATATGTTGTGCCGAAACACCACCCAAAAGTATTTAACTGGCGCCTACTCATGACGGCCGAGGCTATTTCGATCCGGCTGATGCAATCAGAATTATGCAACCAGAGGATGCAAGGGGAAAGCTCCAGTTACCCTGGCCATAATTTTACTGCGACTCGCAGTTTCCCTCGACCTCCAAAAGTGACCTTTTCACCCCATCGGACAGCTGAACCGTGGTGTGTTGTATTGTGAAAACGTATTGTGAACATGGATGTATACACGTAAGATTAGCTCTTATAATCGATTGCAAAGTATCGAATACCAAAGAAACCTGTTTGAACTTGGCCAAGCCTAGACATGCAATTTTAGCCTACCACGATTGTAACCAGTTTTATGTATGTATTAGCCTGTTGAGAAAACCCGATTTATTTAATAACGAAAGCCAGTAGCTTACTAAAGCTTAACAGCTATAATAAGGAGATGGTTTCGCTTGGTGACACGTTCCATTGGTGAACGGCGCTGGCGAACTTAACACAACTCTCTCTGGTCGAACTATATGCGGGCGGGTTTAAACCACGGTGCAAGTCAATTTTTCGAGCCGCCTGCGGGTGTGCAAATATTGGGCTTTTGTGCAAAGGTTTTAGTTGTCACTCACTAGTGAACGTACATTGAGGCAAATAGGGAACATATATAAACTAAGACGTTCTCACAAAGAGCGCAGCTAAATAGCATTTTGGTGAGTACTTACACATATTCTTTCAATTAAACAGTATCCATGTCGAATGATAACGGAGGGACAGTTTCCTCGTTATAATCGGGGGTTATGCACATAAGCCTTAACTTCATATATAAATAAATAACTAGATATACATATTGCGAAACATATGTTGTTAGATCAGGGGAATTAGCCTCCAGCAAATAAACCTTAAGAAACTTTGGTACTAATAAGGATAATATTTTTGTTTTGTAAACTAGCGAACAGAAAATGAAAGATGCGTTTCGTGCGGAAACACAAATTAGTGACGAGTAGAATGCCTTAGAAAGTTAGTAGAAAGTAGAAGTCATGATTAAACTGCACACAATAATCTGCCTCGACGGGGAATCGAACCTTTCGGTGGTTCAGTGGTAGAGCAGCGGACCGGGAATTCGTGGACCGGGGTTCGCTTCCCTGTCGAGGCAGATTATTGTGTGCAGTTTCATCGTGACTTCTACTTTCTACGAACCTTACGCAGCTCACAAACATCCTTCAAATAATCTACCATCGCTCTTTGTACTTCAGAAGGGCAGTTACTTCGGTCCCTTGGGAAGTGACGAGGGAGTGAGCCAATCTGCAACACCAGGACAGTTACTGTGAGCTCATTAACAATACGTCGCGCACCAAGCAGCAGTCATGTATTAAATTGTGCACCTAATCGTCAGCCCTCGGTAGCTCAGTGGTAGAGCAGCGGACCGGGAATTCGTGGGACCGGGGTTCGATTCCCCGTCGAGGCAGATTATTACGTGCAGTTTAATCGTGACTTCTATTTCTACGAACCTTACGCCACTCACAAACATCCCTCAAGTAAAAAGCCTTAGAAAGTGACATAGAACGAACACAAGTTTTAATACGCTTAGCTTGACATAGGTAGGTACTTAAGATTAAGTGGTTTCCAAAATCAGCATTCCATAGGTTCAGCAAATGTGTGTTTTTGTCCCGCCAGTGATGAAACGTGGGAATACTTGTACACTGTCATATGATGATCTTCATATTCATAAGCATTTCATCAGTTCCCAACGATTTAGATGAGTGCTTGTACTTGGGCTACTATTGGACAAGTATTCCAAAGATGTGGTAACAAAGGAAAAATGTAGTCTGATACCACACGATTAATTAGAGCAATTTAGAAGTAGGTGTAAAATCCATTGGATCGTCCCGTGATCTACATCACAGAAGAGCTGATGGTCGGATGGAGCCGAGCTTAACACCTGTTAAAATTGGTAACGTTTTCCGACGAACTGTTAATATACTTCCGTGAGTATAAGATTATCCATAATTGAATGAAACACTCTGACTAACTTATGCAGATTTACATACATATACGCGCAAATTGGTGAAATGTGGAGCTCATTCACATGCCTCCCGGTCTTATTGCCTCCGGTTTAGGCTGGATATTGGGTATGGGGATGGAGCTGTGGGTGGTGCAGCGCAAGCCACTCATGGTCCTTCTGTAGGCACAGGCGTCCTGTGGCTGTCCCTGTGGAGGCCACATTGACAGGCAAATCCGGAACCGGATGCTGCCAATAATGTATGACCAACTTGTGCCTCATGTTAAGATTGATGTTGTATTCATGATGCTTCTTCACCTCATTTGGGCTAAACCAACTTACACCTATCTAGGTCTTTTTAAACTGGATAAAAGCCATTCCTCCCTAGCTGGTTTGTTCAATTCTGTGACTCTGCTGCATATTTTGTGTTATTTTGCCTGCTTGCTTTTCCTTAAATGCTATGTCGGTTGTTCGATGGCGCCGATGTGGCTGCGCTTGATGTAAATGTTGACAACGTGCCTACATGTCTGACACTCTCCACCTCGATTACTGGCTCCAGGAGACTGTGAATCGTTGCTGGATGGTGGACGGGGTGAACGGTACTGCTAATCGTGCTAGGTTCACAGATTGGTTCCATTCAGTGTGAAGCGGACTACAGCGCAGCCATCGCCTTGTGTTCGCCTGGCACGCATGATTCGCTATATAGATAAACTGAATGCTTCTGCTATGCAAGTTGAAGGGGTGTGGGCCGGCTCCGTTGATGAAAGGTCGCTCCCATACACATTCCTCCTGGTCTTATTCCTTAGGGATTACGCTGGATATGGGGTGTGTGGATGGAGCTGTAGGTGGTGCAGCCCAAGCCACTCATGGTCCTTCCGTAGACGCAGGCGTCCTGGGGGGTGTCACGTGGAGGCCACAGTGGCAGGCAAATCAAGGAACCGGATGCTGCCAAACAGGCGCAAGTTAGCTGGGAAGCATCGCTTCCCAAAGACTGAACACACAAAAGGGATGATTTTTAGAAACTCGGTGTAATCAAGGCTTACCTCCAAGTACTCCAAGTGCATGCCACCTTAGCCGCTTAGACGGTCAATAACCCCTAGGAAAATCCTTGATATCATGCTAACGAAAAGACTTAAACGTGTGGGCACACAAACAATGAGAAGAAGAAATTATATGATACATTGCTCAGAAGTTTACCTAACTAACATTTGTCCGCATCAGCTGCGGTCTCAACGACTGTATAACCCGAGCTTTGCCGCGGTCCAATGTTATCCCTTGTGTCTCACTCTAAACATTAATGGGCATCTTCGAGTCAAATCAAGTCAAGTCAAGGTAAGCAATTGCTTTATGCATCATGCATGCGTGAATATTCAGCTACAACACACATGACCTTGACAATATACCCAAAAATACAAAGTAGTGGTAAAGCAATACGACAATGAACGGGAGGATAAGGAGAAAAAATGCAATCAAGTTGAAAATCGACTGGTTAAGTCAAGGATGAGTTGGGGTCTCGCAAGAGACCCGAGAGGTAAGGGAGGAGTGGCGAGCCGTAAGCCTGTGTGCGGTCATAGATTAGCTTGTTCTTCTGCCTAGTAGATGAAGTTGGTAAACATTAGGGTAAGGCAGTATGTAGGGGATGACTTGTATCGGTCAGTATCTTAGAGGCCAGATTTTTACAAGAACTGATGTGTGTAGAAATAAGAGTCGTGGTAAAAATATATATCGGAACACCACTACATGGGGCTAAGTGCTTTAATGATCTGACAAATAACTTAAAATGCTTACCCAGAAAGACCGGGAAAGATCACAGAGGAACAGCACGTCCAATGGGGAAGAACACAGATATTGACAATAATAACGATCCATTCATGTCGAACGTAGGAGGCTCTGAGCGGAGAGGCATAGAATGACAGCCTTCTGATTTTTATGAAAGTTTCATTTACTTGATTAGTCCAAGATAAATCGTAATGTCACATCCAGATATTTTACTGACGTGGATGACCATACTCCGTCGCCAACAATATATAACTTCTTGTACAGTGTAAGTTCATCCTACCTGGCTTTTTGTGTAAGGAAACATGAATGTCATGGCACTTTGAAGCATTAAGAGATAGATCACAGGATTTGGACTAACCATTAAGATCGTTCAGAAGCGTTTGCAGTCTGAATGAACAATCGGCGCTTTGGTGATTGATGCCCAGGAGGATATCGTCCGCATATTTTACCAGAGTCATTTCAGTTGGAGCTGGCATGGAACTGACGTAATTAGAAAAGAAAAAAGGCGACAGAATTGCTCCGTGAAGGACACCTGTGTTGGTGAGTGGTGGGGAGGAACATCTGCTTTTGAGTCGGGACATCTGAGTGCGTTCAGCAAAATAATCAAGCCTAAATTATATGTTTCCGGCTGCTTGCAAAGCCATAATTCGGAGTTCCAATAGTTCTAATGTTGAGGAATATGGGTCACCGTCCTAACTTGCTTAACTCTACATGAAGTAACTGGGCAAAAGTGAAACTGTTCGTTTTGGGAGTGATGTTGTGAGCGTGTCTAAAGGGCATTTATCCGCTTCCGATGCAAACACAGTGATAAAATGTGATGTGGGTAAGTATTATTATTGTTACCCAAGTCTATTTTGTGCATTTTGGCCAAAAGATAGATGGGTTATCCCCGAAATAATGAAGTTTAATTGATTCATTGTACTTACGGCAAAACCTCCGAATTCGACAATTTTTAGATTCTGACAACTTTTCTAATTTGAACGTTCATTATGTAAACTTTGTGGCACCAGACGTCAATATGTTGACCACCTCTCTAGATTGACCACTTTGGTCCAGTCTCTTGCGTGATCAACTTAAAGAGGTTTACTGTAGATTACAGGCAGCATAGAAGAACTAATAATCCGGAAAAGCACCAAACGATCATTTCGTTTTCTTGGGACTCATGGGTTATATACGTTCCCTTAATCCCGTCCAGAGAATCAACCCGGTGGTCACTAGTGTTTTCCACCACCGGCCAGCAGCCTACGGCTCTTAACCATAGGGGTAACAACTAGTCAACATGGTGAAATCTAACGGCGATATAGACCCCACCAATCCTCCACTGTCGCGCACGTTACTGCCTGTGCAGAGAATAATGCCTGGCCAGGAGTCAGGACAATTTTGTCAGTAAGCGTAAATCCACACCGCAGTCGAAGATTGTTAGCGTTAATTTTTGCATCCTGCTTATTGGTACAAGACACTAGCGGTCACGGGTTCTGTTCTCTGAAGACAGCCGAAGGGACGCGTACAACTGACAAGTCCCAAGAGGGCAAAATGATCATTTGGTTCTTGTTCTGACTAGCTGTTGCCCGATCTGGTGGGTAATCTAATTGCAACGAGGTAGCTAAATCTCAACAGCTACCTCTACACATGAGTAGCAGACCTTTTACTGCATACAAGCATGGCCCTTCACGAATTTCAATATGGCAAGAGGAAACCTCATTTTAACGCAATCTACTGAATTCAGCAATTCCGCATATCCTTCCCAGCTGATTGCATGCAATCAGTGAAGTAAAAGATTGCGCAACCAAAACAATCAGAGTGTAATCTTATCGGCAAAATTAAAACCGGTTGAAAGCCACTAAGTTTAAGTGACCTGGCCTGAGGAAAATATAATAGGTAACCTCACCATGGTAGGACGATGCGAGCCATGAAATATGTTTGTTTTTACAAATTTGGTCTCAACGGCCGAATCGCCGAAACCTCTGCAAACTGAATTAGGCGTGGATTACTTTGTTGATTTCCTTGAAAACTCCACGGGGGTTATGGCCCACAGGTCACTCGAGTATGTGGTGGGCAACAGAGCTAGTGGACAGCTCTGGGTCATTTGCGATCCTGTTTTGCGGGACATGCTCTTTAATCCTCGCTAACAACCTTCTCGCAGTTCGGCCAATGTACTTGCTACCGCAAGTACATGACGGTTGCTTCCTGACTTGTGTGGCAGGTGGCAAAAATTGATGAACACTGGTCTGGTGGCTTGCCGTATGTGAAATATAAAGGACAGCTGTGCTATGGAGGTACTGGTAATACTACAAGTTGTTTTAATCGTAAACAAGTTAACCGAAGCGGCGTTGGCTATACGGAAGACGGTAAAAGCGAGAATCCCTAAACAAACTACCGCCCTTTCGACTAGTTAGTAGGACATTGTGGCAATAACCATGTATCAGGATGTTAATTTCAGCTGAAAAGGTTTTCTCATCTGTTTTATTGACTCACTAACCTATCCAACAAAGTCCTTTGTTTCGGGTGCCTTTGCGACAACAAGTGGCTTTCGTCAGGTTACTCTATTTTCGCCAGTTTTGTCCATGTAAATCGTCTGGTGCTTGACTCGATACTTTACAGGACATGGCTCGCAGTCGGCACCAGTGGCGCGACTGCTGCCGTCTGCTAGTCGGATAGCCGGTTTAAGGTGTGTTTTTGTGCTGAGTTACCTACGAGGTAATGACTGTGTCACAAGGCGGTGAGAGCTGCAAGGAAGATGTTTTGCCGATGTCGCCATATCTTTAGACGATAGCCAGGTGTTAGTGATGTTATGTTGTTGACAAGGTGTAGGTGCATTGCCTCTGTGTTTGTTTGGTGCATTAATGTTTATGTCAGGTCCCCTTTCTCTTCCTGTTATTGTTCTTCGTTCCGTACTTCACTACAGTTGTAAGCCAGCGAAGCATCAGTTCGAATGGCTGATGCACGGCTGTTGGTGATGATGATTTGTCTCGGTCAACTCGATAAAAGTGGTCCTGTGATGCCTTAATGCCCAGCTGGGTAGAAATGATAAACCACATAAGGGGACGAGGTCGTTAAATCCTACTGAAAACTGCTCAGCAGGAATTAGAAAGTAGTCTAGGCTCCTGGATTTAAGTGCAAAACACCCGTCTCCCAAATTCGTTATTTTCTTGGGCATATTAATGTGAGTGGAATAAATAGCGAGTGGATGAAGTAAACTGATTGTCAACTGACAGAAAAGTTGTACACCACTGCGTTGTTCTTTTGGGATCCAGTGGCCGTCTTCGGATTACACGGTAAAGAGAAAAGCATATTTTGAAGGGTGAATTAATGTTGGCTTAAGACCCATGTCAACTGACCTAGTGAGGAAAGAGTTTTCCATCTCTGTGATGCAATTTGGCAATGATTAGACATATACAAACACATCAGGTCAACGGGTCGTTTTCATGCCTGTGAACTCACTCACTGAATTCTGAAACAACTACAAATTAGAACAGGAAAATCATTAACGGATTATTATATCCAAAGTGAAGAGAGACAGGTTCCATAACCTCCTAAGTTAGATAGGATACCTATCTCTGCTTAGTCGTAAAAATTGAAAACGACTGATTAGCGCCTATGCAGATACCCGCCGGCTACCTAACTGAGTAATGCATTGATAAATCTTCTCTGAACTATATTACTTTTTTGTTTAAATTACCCGTTGACTGTCAAGGAATCGTGTAATACAATCTCAGCTTAAACAGCTTTTTGCCTTTAGGTGAGTATCGATTAGTTCATTTACCGCAGGGATGTCCAAACATTTTGAAAGGAGGGTCCATTTTTGTCGGGCCATATTCAGTCTGACATTAGGATAATAACAAAAATTACACATGTAGTAAACAAATCCAAGCCTGAATTGATTATTTCACGAGAAGGCCGCGGGCCAGTTGAAATGTTAACGCCGGCCGCATTTGGCCCACGGACCGGACTTTGGACACTCCTGATTTACTGGGACGGCTAGGGATTACTTGTTCCAAACATTGCATCTGGCAACCAGTTTCACGCTCATTTATACCCGTTAGGGTGGTATAACCCAACTGTTAGTAAAACCCGGAGACTATACATGGTCGATGCTTGACTTTACTACTACAAATCCGAATGTCGCATCAACACCTGTCATCCAAGTTAAAAGTGCATTACTTGCTGAGGGTCATTTTGAAGTATACGTTGTGTGGATGGGTCGCAAGACCAAGGTTCACTTCAATGGGAATCGTGTCGCAATCCATCCACACAACTTGCACTCCAAAATGACCCTAAACATCGTTCATTAAACCGTTGTGCCAAATATTGTCCGTCGTGACCCGGTGGCTTAGGGGTAGCGGTCACAACTAACCTCACAATGGTCCCGGGTTCGATGCCTGTTAACTCTATCTGATGAGATGTAATAACATCCAAACGCGTCATAGTACTGCAATGTTTTCGGGGGGGGGGGGCAACAACCAATTTCTATTTGTATTACTTGGTTTTCTATGGCACGACTCACAGTCACAAGTTGAGGCGCCTTGTATCTTGACTCGAACCCCGGTTATTTCGGTCGCCTGGACGGCATTCCCAGTGGACTGCCATGCTTGGTGCGTGTGACACCAGGCGTTACCTTCTCTAAGTGATTTTAAGGCTTTTGGTCTGAGCGGTGATTAGACGCAGTTCGTCGTCCTCCTTGCTGCTTGGATTGTTCGCTAAGGTTTCGCATCCAGCAGAGGCAGAGCTAGCAGTGCAACAATAACTGCTCTAACAGCAGGAGGGAAGGTATATCGTTCCACTGGAAGCTGCATTGAATACGTCGCGTGAGAACGAACCACATGCCTTGAGTGACAATTCGACATTTCTGTGTAGTAACACCTTCCACCTTCAATGTCTCTTGACGGTTGTGCGCAACAGTCCATTTATCACAATACTAAGACTTGTCCCATCAGATACACTTGATTTGTTGCTTGGTTTAGAAATTGGTAGCGATAAGTTAACTGAATGCGAGAAACGATTCTCTGATTGGAACTGCTACGCCATGTCGCAATATTTCATGTGGAACTGTCAACTGTGATAATAAACGACAGCCCAAGAGCCCGATAATAAAGGTGATGAGCCAGTACATTAAATCAGTATAAGTTCCTCCCAGCTAGACTTAGACTTTCATCGCATGCTCGGAAAGGCACTGTATGGCTGTTTCATCTCTTCAGGAATTGTCCCCAATGCGCATTCTAGTGTGAAGAGGGAGCTACCCTGTATTTTGTAAACCAGTAATGTGAAGATCATCGGACAGTGATCGTCGTTATGTCCCATCTAGTAACTAAGTAACAGCTGCCGTTGCCGTCCCCTATAGCCAAGTGGTGTTTACCTTGAATTGGAAAAACGCCGAGTTGCGGGTTCTAGCTCCACATGGACCATGAATACGCACTGCCAACGATTCCCGGGAGGATGAAACGGTCATAAAGCGCTTCGTGGAAGTGTGCTGGCCGTCTGACTAAGTTGGGGTAAACTTCTGTGTATCCAATTCAACTCTCTTACTAATCCTTTGTAATCAGTGCATCTTAACTAAGCATGTCTTGACTTCTCTCATTCGTACAGACATCCGACCTGGGAGTTGAAATCGCTGTAACCGTAGGTGGAATTTGGAAGCTTGACACTTATCCGCAAAGCTGAATTAGGGACTATGTGCAGCGTTTGTAGAAAAGCATCCTGAATGCGATATCTGAAATAAGCCAATTCTGCCGTCCGGAAATACCGGATCATGTGTTTGTTTTAAAATTAGCACCAGAAATGGGGCGTTTTATCACACCTTTCGCACTATTTCAACTGAAATTTTTATTTCTAAAGCATAGCTGTCCAGCTCCTTGATTACTTTATCAGTGCCCTACTTCAGCTTTCAGTGTAAACTCAAAACTCATATGGTGTTCGTGCTTTCAGGATACTTCAGCGTGATTAGCAGTATCGTCCGACTGAACATCGGTTCCCCCTTTTCTGGCAAAAGGACAGTGCAAAATGCGGTACATCACCCTTATTTTAATATTGGTTGCATCCACGGAAGTCTTCACAAGGCCAGCAATCAATGGGGACCAGGACAGCGGTAAGTTTGAACGCAGCTGCCGTTGTAAATTATGGTTTGAAAGCTACATAAGTCTAGTAGAGACCAATGGACACGGCAGCGGTGACTCTAAGATGGCGTCCACATGCATCGTTGCACCGTTAGTGGTAGTTTGACGACAGTTGCATGTGAGCAGGAGTTTAGTTTGATTGATGGGCTCACCATCCAGTAACTGAGTGAAAAGGCAGCTAACGTTTTGTATTACTTTGACAGATTCTGTCGATGCAATTGTTTTAGATAATAAAAAGAAATAGAGCTTCTCAATGTGCCTTCGTAGTAAGCCAGTTCATTCCATTTCACTAGCAACAAAAACACTTGTGTTTCGTCCAACATTAGTAATTGACTATTTTATCAAGCGGTACACAAGTTTATGTTTTGAGAAAGATGACTGTCCGTAGATATTTTGGAATGCCTTGAATGCAATGGGCCCAGTTTCCATTTATCTCCATGATGTGCTCAACCAATAAATAAATAAGCAAATGTAAAGGTTTATTCCTTGGTGATGTAAGAAATGTTCCCAAGAGGAGACAGCTCAGAAATTGTACAAACCTTTTGTATTATTGCACAGATCATAAAAATTCATGAGCACAAATGTTACATGCATGTACCACAACGTAATATAAATTGTTTGATGTTCATTTCAACCGCCGATTAGCCAATAACAATAACATGAAAGAGGCTGTGGCGCTATTTAGTCCGGAGACGTGTTTTTCGTGGTGTTCTCGAAATCGTTATCTATGGGTTGTGATGACCCAAACTTAGTAACCACGGTCTGAACGATTTACTGTCCAGTAGTCGCAAGCTTTAATCTACGCATTTTACAGTATATTCTGGTATATCTTGGAAATCTGAGTAGTGTATCAAAAAGGTGGCAAACTTTGAAATCGTACCGTGTGTATTGCCTATGGGGTATCTAATGTTTAAAGATATATCATCCAAACTGTGCATAGGTTAGTTAATGATCCTGTGTACAAAACACAGGTTCAGTTCAATCTACGAAACCAGATTGGGTCTAGTCCATGCTTGTCACAACGCTCCATGTATGGCATCTTTTGGAAATAATTTCATAACTTTTGGTATAACTCTCTCCTATCCCACTGAAACCTTCCACTTCGGATACGGTCCCAGTGATCGGAGTGGCACAACCTGACTTCAAAGTCAGCCATGGCCACAACTGAGATTGCAAGTCACAACGCAAGACACTCGGCGAGCACTCAAAGAAAACCCGAATATCAACTACGCGCTTATTCGTGGAGCGCCGAGACAGCATGCTGGTCAGCTTTTCTCAGATTCGATTAGACTAGGGGTGTCCAATCTTTTCGCAATGAGGGCCACATTTTATGAGGCAAACAAATGTCGAGCCATAGTCAGTCTAACATTCAGAGAATAACTAAAAGCAACAAATGTTATAAATCATTTATCGCAAAATGTTAATGTGAAGGGTGTAAAAGACTTTCTTTATTTTTTGACTAAGTTAAGTCCCCTAAAGTAAAAGCATTAGTTTGACTTTTCATAATTGGCTAAAACCAAACCGTACTGCATTGATTTTTGCCAGCATTTGACGCTATGAATTTTGCAGTCGTAACATTCTTAATTTCTTTGTAATCTATGTCGTTTGTACGGAAAAGCAACCAAGCTTCCAATTGGTGTAGCTCTCTTCCATCCCTGCACTCCACGACCGACGGTTTCGACGTTGTTTAGACTCATCAAGTAGAAATAGCCGAGCTGGGAGTGGAACTCGGCGCATAGTGATTGGCGGTTATCGCCATGATCACTAGGCCTTTAAGCTCCGCATTCAGTCTAAACAAAGACGAAACCATCGGTCGTGGAATGCAGGGATATGGGAGAGAGCTAAACCGAAACCCTTGCTTCGGTGACGGTCCCAGTGACCGTATTGGCAGAGGCTGCTTTCAAAGGAAACGCAGGCCACCATTGAGACTGCGAGTCGCAATCCAAGACACACGGCGGGTGCTCCTAATCCCGAAAACCAAGGTTGCACTTATTCTTTCATTGGGAGTACGCGGGCCAATGTACATGTTAACGCGGGTCGCAATTGGTCCGCGCGCCGGACTTTGGACATCCCCATTACTTAGACCAATAAACATTATTTCATACATGGTAATACATGTGCTGTGTAAAGCCAGGGGTGAGAATCCGTTAGATAAAAATGGTGGCATATCTATCCGATTGTCTTCATGTTTTTCGAAAGCTGAAAATCACACTATTCGGAAAAGTTGAATGACTATACTTCGTGCCCCTGGCTGACCCAATTGGACACTTTTTGGACGACCTTTAGTCAATCAAAAACGTTTTCGGTTTGGCTTAACGGCTATACTGTCGTGTAATTACATTTTCAGAATCGATTTTGTCATAATATTGACGGTATTTGCAAGTATGAAAAGGTAATCAAGGTATTTGTTAATGGTGGGTTGGAAAAAACGTTTTTAGTGACCAAACATTTTCCAAAAATTGTCCAATTGGGACGACCCGGGGGAACAAAAGTTGATCACTCAGGGACGTCTAAAAGTTACTCCAGCGGACACTTTTTGGCTACTCCTGCGGATAGGGACCACACGCCATTGTCAGGAACCGACTTGCATTGCGAAATGTATATGACTTACAATAATAAGTTGTCTGATTGTATTGACATCTGTACGACAGGATAGTAAAAGTATCCACGGTAAGAGACTTTGCCACATTTGACACCGGGTACAAGTGCAGGTACTTCATCCTGAATGAGGCCTATGTCTTCCTGGATCTCGGCACTGCCTTGTAACTAAACGACCCTTACGTCATCAACAAACAGGAAAACCACCATATCTTATTCACTGAAATACTTCTTATATATTGACGCAAAAAAAATCCAAGTAAACTTCCACAAATAGCTCCACTGGTTACCGATGCGCGCCCTCTGATGTCCGCCAACTAGATACGAGAACAACCAAGAAAACATTGGCTCTCCAACGCCTAGTGCATTTAACCTTTTGAATAGTCTCCGATGATGTTCTCTAGCAAAAGCTTTTTGCATGTTCAGGAACAATGTTACAGCACTGTTTCCACTGTAAATGTCAGTCGTTGTGTGGTTTAAGAAGTCCGTCTGGTATGTTGCGCAGGATCGAGGTTGCAAAAACCGGGATGGGAACTGCGGATGATGTTTTACTTATTCAACTGGGCACGTAATTGCCAGTTCACTATTCGTTCGATTATGCCAGGTATGAAAATTGTGTGATCGACCGGCGAAAATCAGTTCACCTTTTGAGATGCCCCATATTTGTTTCATGGAATTAAAATAAAAACGTTTCCTTGATTAAGAAATAATCCACTGTCAAAAATGAACGCAAAAAGCTTAATCAAAAACAGCGGCAAGTCGTTTATTATGCTTTATATTTAACAGGTATCTTCGTCATCTCTTTAATGGGCTCCAGTTGAGCCCACAGCTTTAGAATTTAGGTGAACCATAGAGTGGATCAGAGAAAGAACTATAGAGTGCTAACAGACGGTGATCTACTTAGAACTGCAACAAAATAATCACCTCAGTCCAAAACTAGCTGCTCGTTTCTGTGCTTTCATAATTCCCTCCGATTTAGCTGGTGGGTTTCAAACACATTGTTTTGCTGCATAGTGTTAGAATGGTTCCATAAACAGAGGGACGAGCTTGCATGCTATGGTGATCATTCTCGACGGGATTTCGATGACCCAGGGAAGAAGATAGTTAAATAAGGTGATAATTGTAACGATTAACTTGTCTAAAAAGCAACCGTAGGCGTTATATACTTAAGGAGACGGGACAGTAGAAGGTAGCCAGGCGCCAACAACACAGACGGCAAATAAAATACGCCAAGGCGGGCGCTGGACATCCTATGTAAATATTCCAGGGTACAAAATGAATAACTATGGCGATTTTACTATACCAAAAGACTTATGACAATCGTGCTTGAATCAGAAGCAACAGGAATGAAGGCACGCATGATTCGAAATTGGAGACTGTATATATGGGCGTTCATCTCTTCAAACAATCAGACACAGGCGAAATACAGACGGGCACCTTGGATTCCATACTTACATGGTAAAACCAAGTTTTTCGAAAAGATTTTACAAGTACACATCAGGCTAGCGAGGGAATCGTCGGGCCAAAATCTACTGATAGAATGAAGCTTGGAGTTAGTAGGTAAGTACTGGGAGATTGTCGCTATGCGTCGATTCCTTTCCGATGTAATATGCTAATACCTTGATGTACTATTCCCGATAGATTTGACATTTTACTTCGTCTATGCAACAGATTGGCCATGTGCAATGCAGCTTCTGATATGTCTCTGCGCTTCCGTATTCCATCCGCTTAGTAGGTGCGTTTTCATAAGCCCCGGTAAATTCAGTATGGCTGAGGAACAACTGGAACTATAAATATGCTCCCTCTCAGTAGAAACCTGCGGAGCGAAACATGAACTGTCGACATCGTGAAAATCGCTAGTCGGTTAACTGTGTGAATTGTTCACTTGCCACAGAATTTCCAAGGAAAATTTCCTTTGAATGCATAGTCCAATGTGGTCACAAGAAGGACAATCGTTGAGCATTGTATTCCAAGTGCCAGACTTTACACTTTAGGCGTACTGTAAGCGGGCAACCAGTGATAATCTTTTGATTCGAAATTATGCATCGAACTGGGAACATACACAATAATTTGCCACCTTAGCGTTGATCCGTATCAAGCTCACAATTCTCTCGAAAACATCGAGCGCACGTCAATTACGAGTGAGCTCATGAATGGACTGAACCATTATTCTGCGATGCACCGGCTCTCTAAGCATCGTGCTACTTTGTATTGAGCAGCTGGTCAAGCTGGGGTGATATAATCTACAAATCGATTTCAAGGACCAGAATGTAGATAGCATAGTCCGATGTGTAATACCATGGAGTTTACATAGTGATGTGAATCGCGGCTGAATAATAATAATACAAAGAGAAAGATGCGGTAGCTCACCGTC